AAATATAACTAAAAAATGAATATATAATATATATATATATATATATATATATATATATATATATATATATATATATATATATATTTATCTTATTGTGTGTGTGTGTGTCTAGTAAGTTTGTAAACGATACTCATTTACTTTACCTATATGTTCCCGTGAAAGCTTTTCATTCCAAAAACACATAAAAGTATTTAAATTTGAAATGTATCAATATGCCAAGTGTGGTCGTTGATGATTTGAAGTTCTTCCAATTAAAATACGTAGAATAACACTAAATTGGACAGACACACGTACGTACGTTTAGTGATGCGTAATCCCACCCAAAATTTGTGGGTATAGTTTTAACTTTATTTCCATAGCTTTACCCCGTCTTGTTAATAAATTAATTATAAAAACTGTATTATATTACTTTTTCCATATGTAAAGTAAAAGATCTTGTTCCTTGCACTTGTCCTACATTTAACCCTAAATTCGGGTTCCAAAAGTCATTGCATTTATCATTTTTCTAGTTGTTGTTGAATAGTCATTGCATCCATATATCTGTATACCTTGCACTTCTCCCCTTCACTTAATGTTGGAATCCTGACACCTTTGTTCTATATAGATAGTGAACCCGGTCCCAGCATCAAAGAATCTAATTTTATTTCTTCAAGATATGATAATGTTTCGTGACTTGACATGGCATATATTCTCTTTCTCAAAAATAATTTATTTATTTTGAAAGATTTTACGTAGACCTGTTAAGGTAGAAGGAAAAAAAACTATATAAAACTAAAATGATTTAAGTGATGTTCAAAAACATTGAACGCAAGACTAATATATATTCTAATGATAGAAACAACCAATTTTAAGAGATGAATATATGATAAACATTATTATATGAGCTACTATAAAAAGCTACTCATATATTATCAACAAAATCAATCTTCTCTAGCCACTATGTTTTATTTCCTAGGGGAAAAGCTGAGAATGTGTTGAATCTTATAGGCACAAGGAACAAGCACAAGTGAGGAGGGTGAATGGCGCAAAGGGTGGTGAGAGGGGTGTTTGTGATGGTGTTACTATTATTGATGGCTCAGGAACCGATGTTCCGGAGAACAAATGCAATGGGCGCGGGGACCCGAAAAAGGGGTAAAGAGTCATCTAGTGGTGGTAGTGGTAGTAGTAGTAGTGGTGATGAAGATGGAAGCTTTTGCTTGAGTTGGAGACTGGCTGTGGAGGCAAACAATGTGGTTGCGTGGCCAACGGTTCCACCTCAGTGTTCAAGATATGTTGAGACTTACTTGATCAATGGACAGTACGAGAGGGACTTGGACTTGATAGTGGAAGAAATCTTGGGTTATGTCAACCAAACATTTCTAGTTGGGGATGACATGGATGCTTGGATTTTGGATGTTGATGACACTTGCATCTCCAACATTTATTATTACAAAGGCAAGAAATATGGGTATGTATATTAATTCCTCTATTAGTTTCTCATGTGTGTATTTGTTTTTTGTTTTTTTTCATTAATAGAAAAAAATTATGATATTGACAATAAGAAAGATCAAATTTGAATTTTCATACATCTACTTTAATCTTTTCCTACCAAGTAAATCAAAGTTATCTGTATATATACATATTTGCTTTTATTCTTAGACTTAACTTTTTTTTCCTAACTGGTGTATGAAATAAAAGTCCCTTTTTGTTACCAAATTTGCTTCTGCATTCTCTCTCTCTCTCTCTCTCGTGTTGCATATGGCAGAGAATAATTTTGTTTGTAATGCTATAACCATTACTGATCTGACAAGTGTTTACACATAATGAAAAACTTCTTAATTGAGTCTTAATTTTATAGTAGCTCTTCTCTTCATGCTTGATCCATTATTATTTATTGGTTTTTCCTGTTAATCCAAGGCTAGTACCTAATTTATCCCACCCATCTTTTTAATCAAATAATTTTAAACTTTATAAAAATTTATAAATTTAAATAATTATCAAGAATTTTTATTTTAATAACTTGGTCCTTAAAATTTAATGTAGATCATAATTTATTGGGTATATTGTCTATAAAAAAAATAATGGTCTCCAATTTTGTTTTTCCCAAATATTTGTTTGTAGCATATATAATAGTTGTGAAATTGGTTAATTTGTGTGGTTGATAATTGGGTATATGTATATGCAGGTGTGATCCATATGATCCATCTGCCTTTAGGACGTGGGCCATGAAAGGAGGGTGCCCTGCAATTCCTTCCGTACTAAGGCTGTTTAACATATTAGTAGATAAAGGATTTAAAGTATTTTTAGTGACTGGAAGAGATGAAGAGACTCTTGGTCAAGTTACCAAGAACAACTTGCACAATCAAGGATTCATTGGCTATGAAAGCCTTATTTTGAGGTAAGACATAGGGCATATTAATCCCATGAAAATTTTGATTATATGATAATAGTTTCCCTTTGATTCATTGAAGAGTGAAGGCATGCATATTGAGATTAATTGAAGCATGTTGATGAAATTGGCAGGAGTGCAGCATATAAAGGGAAAAGTGCAATGAAATACAAATCTGATGTAAGAAAGCAGTTACAAGACCAAGGTTACAGGATATGGGGGAATGTGGGAGATCAATGGAGTGATATTCGTGGAGACTATTTGGGGAATCGCACTTTCAAGTTGCCTAATCCTATGTACTTTGTTCCCTAATCTTATCATTTGAATGTGTTATTATGAACTTATGGTAAATAAAAATGTATTTGGTTGTCACCAATAATTTACTTTGTGGATGAATGGATGCAATTGAAATGTTAATTATTTATTCCCCGGAGACCAAGGTTGGACTTTCATTGGGCAATGGGCCCAACTAAAATCTTAGTCCAAATTGGCCTATGTTATTGTTACACTCTTTTTACTTCTTCTAATTTTACACCCTTTGCTATTTGATCGGTCAAATCAATGGATATTTTTGTGGTGTACACTGTACAATACAACAAACACTTGTTTTTGTTGAATTATGATTGAAAGTAGGGAATGTGACTTCATAATACATTTGAAAATATTGCAAAGTCATACACTCTCTCTTCCCGTTATAACACAATGAAAACAAGTTTTTTTTTTTGTTTTTATGTTAAAATAAAGGATTTAATTTAGAAGGGGGTGAATTGAATTTTTTTTTTTTTGGAATATAATTTTTCCTTGAGCCTTTAAAACCTTTTCCTTAAACCATTCTTTTTAATGTGACAAACAATTGATGCTAATATATAAAGCTCTAATTAAAGTCTAGTTATTTCAATTTTTTTAATGCAAATGCTATGACATTTATTGATGCAAGAATTAAAAATTGATAGACAGAGAAAGGGGAAAAAGAACATATAAAAATGATATTGATTCCCTCTCAACCTTAAAAAAAGTTAATTACATTCGATTCTTAGTAAATTTATTTAGATTTTTCACAATATTAACTAAGAAATCTCTCAAATGCTATACGAATCACTTAGTAAAAGTTCTATTCACGTGAGAAATATATCCTTTTGAGAAACCTTATCTCAAAAGGTTACAATCCTATACCAACGACACTTATGATGGAGGCTCCTTCAAGTAAAATGAATAGTCACTTTAAGAAGTTCTCCTTCTCCCAAGATCTTCATCCATTGGTTGCAAACTTTGAAGATGAAATTGCAAATAGTGGTGGTGGTGGTGGTGCCACTTCTTCTAGGAGGAAGATAAGCCAAATGCACACTTGCTACAAAAAGAAGTTCCTAGATAAAAGTATCAAAGGAGCCAAAAATAAAAGTGACTTTTGAGAGAGAGAAGTATCATCTCAATCATATATCCATTAAAAGTAACGAGTTTACAATAAGAAAGTCTTATATAGAGAGTTGGTTTGCTTGTGGTGCAAACTAACCAACTCTATATACACAATCCGATCTGATCCACAAAAAAAAAAATTGATTATTTTTGACAAATGCATCATTAATCAACACAGATAAGAAATTGTAAAACACAATGAAAATAAGTAAAATGTGGAATAAATAATCCAAGTGAACTGATAAGTCAATAAAGATTTGTCGCAAAGATTTATCCTTTTGATAAGAACCAGGTTTTTGATAAGAACAAGAGAAATCTTCTCTCATAAGAAAGGTAAACTTTCATTCAATTAACTCAAAAGTGTATACAAATGAGTGACAAATACTATTTATAGTTAATATACTTAAGAAGTGTATTAGACACAATTTAGCTCACTAAAATGCCCCAAAAAAAGGTTTGGCATGCAAAACAAATTCAAATTACGGTGGTAGTTGAACAATCTTTGCTCAACCACAAGATTCTCACTTTGCTAAAATACTCACAAAGAGAAATTCAAACCCTTTGGTCCCAAAACTAAAATTTAGCAACCAACCTTTTTTGTCTCTAATTTAGTCTTTTTTTTCCTAACAAAAATTACTCCTATAGAATTAGCTCAAACACAAACTCAACTTATGATTATTACAAGCACCATAATGCGCAAAAACTATTCTACAAGTTGGCTCCATTTCTTCATGCAAAATAAATGGTCGAGTCTTATTTCTTAACCCTTCAATGTCTTCAAAAAAATCCAAAAATTATCTTCAATTTCTTCCTTGGTGAGTCATTCCAAGATCATATTAGTTAGGTTAACTTGTAAGACAAGTTAACTATGGTTGGCCATGTGAAATACATATGGGTGCCCCAATCATTACTTTCTCATTGGCCAATAGAAATGAAAATATGCAATATGGTGTGCAAAAGTGTGATGGGGATTGTGAGTAGGGGTGGCTATATGGGCTAAAGCCCTCAAGCTATCCCACGAAGCCCGCAACCCACATAGTTAATGGGCCTATTTTTCAAAAATTCACATAATAATAAAAGAAATTAATTGTGGCCCACGAAGTCTGCAAATTTTGTGAGCTTTATTTGCAAACCTCGCAGGTTAGCCTATTTAAGAGAGTTTTTTTTTCTTCTATCTTTATGAGAGATTTTGTATTTCGGGTCATTAGAATAAGAATATATTTTTCTTTTGGGAGTGCATCTAGTAATTGGAAAATGCAACCAATTTTGATGAAACTAGTGAGTGAGGATTTCTTTCTATTATCTTTACAATGGGTGTGAGAGGGCTTTACGCTGAACATGTGAGCTATAGGGGGCTCCTTGTTGTAAATTCATTTGGCACGAAAGGGTCATGTTGAGTGAGCTCCTTCTAGAGAGCAACATGTGCTCTTTGCTTGAACTACACTAATTGTAAGGTATGCCACGTTAAGCGTCACCTTATTCATGTGTAACTATTAATTTAAATATGTGTGATGATTATTTTGATTAATTAAGTATGTTATATTGAGTACTAATGAACATATGCAATTGTTGATGGAAGTAACCTTTGATAAGCATTACAAATTATGTGAAATCTTGTGTATGGACCATGTGATGAAAAGTCTAAGCCGAAGGTTAGCCACATTGAAGTCTAGCGGGTGTGATTGTTGTGATGTTACGATTGAGTATATGATATGAATATCCATCGTGTCTTGTATGACATGCATTATGTGCATAAATTGTATTATTGTGACGATTACAATATGAAATGCATTGCCAAGGAATGTCTCGCATGTGTTAAAGCTTAGGGATTCGTGACCTTAAAGATAGCCATGTTTGGAAGCCCTAGTTTCAACCATTGTGTGTATGGGGTGTAACTTGGCCTACACCATTATCTCGACATGCCCTAGTGTATATCCTTCTAGTGTAAAGTGTTGTAATGACTTAACTTGACATGTTCTCCTAGTCTACTCTAAGTGTGCCTTAGGGCAACAGTTGAATTATTTTACTAACACCACAAGCATATAGTATAGAGAGTTCGTGTCAATTGCATTGTCGAGAACACGATGGTTGTGTATTGAATGGATGTGGATCATAAATATTGCTTATGATGAACTGTGGAATTTTTTGGGGGTGCAACTGCTATTTGTTGGTCTATATATGTAAATGTGTATGTAATGCTTGTTACGTATGGCTACCCAACCATAACTTACACTAGTAGCCAAAATGAGATATTTCTCACTCTTTTTTTTCTCTTCAATGGTGTTTGGTGTGTTCTTGCAAGTAAGGTTCATCATGAGGATGATGAGGTTGAGACGAGGCTTTTTGTACTTGGTTGTGCTATGATAGGATGTGACATTTGGGTAGAGGTAAGGATTTCATTTATGTTAGTTGATCTTCACGTTAGGACCTTATGTTAGATTTTGTTTTGTATTCATTATATTTGACCTCTATTTTAGTCATTATTTTGGTTTCATTATTTATGTGATACCTTTATTCGAGGGGATGTGGAACTTGGTTTCATTCAGTAATATTATTTTTGTTATTTGGTTCTATATTCATTAATTTATTAAGTTATGTTAGCATATGGGATAAAAGGGTGTTATGAGTGAGCTACGGTCTCCCATATAGGGCATAACCCGCTTAGTAAGCTATGGCCACCCAACAAAGTGATCCATAATGGGTTAAACTCACTCAACAAGAACAATCTGCTTAAGCGAAAAGATTTAGAGGAGTTTAAGCACCAGACAAGGTTATGCTCACTTGACGAGATTCCTCTAGTTTTGTTGATGTGTTATTTCAATTGAATCTTGATGAGGTGTTGGTGTTTTTAGTTGATTATTACATGTTATAAGTTGAAATATGTTATTCTATGAAAATGTTCTATGTTGTTGATTTTCTTATCCCATATGATGACAATGAATATGTGTTGTATATAATAAGAGTTCTCTTTGTTGCTAATGCATGATGCATGCTTTTTGTGTTGTGAGTTGAACTTATATTTAGAGGAGAGTAAGTTATTTTTTATGGTGGAAGATCCCATGTGAGGATTTGAGTTGTGGTGCTTTAAGAGCTCCAAAATAAATAAAAAATTCTTCAATGAGAGAGTTGACTCCTGAAGTGGAGAGTTGTTTTAAAAGTTGTCCTTATAGGTTCTTAATTAATACAATATGAGTACAAAGTTGAGTCATATTGCTTTGTAAAGTGGCCAATGAGTAAAGCATAAGGTCACAGGCTAAAATCCTTAACTAAATATTGGAAGGGTGCACAATATTTGAAGGGTAGGTAAAAGGTTAATTTTATATGGGCTTAGTTGATGCATATTAATGTTGTGGTAAGTCAACACTCAAGTTGTTCTATTCCTAATAGTAGTATTGGACTTTTGATGACATGTTGCCTTCTAAAAGTCCTATTGCAAGGGCAACGTCAAGGAGGATGTAAGAGGAATGAGCTCGTGGTGAAGGTAGGGGGCCTAAGCTCCTTTTGAGTTATAGGTTAATTACTTAGTTTATTTTCTTTGTGTATATTTTTCCTTGTAAATATTTTCCTTGTTTTTGACCTTATATTTTTGGTCAAGTAGTGTAAGAATTTATGTTCTTGTATTTTTTGTCAAGTAGTTTAAGAATTTATTTCATTGTATTTTTTACTTTTAAATGTGTAAGTAGTATTTTCGGAGTGGTGCAACTAGAAAAAGCTAGTTGGACTTTTTGAGCTTAAATGACCTATGAGCACCACTTTGGCCTCATGTGGGGCATTCACTTGCTTGAGCAAGTGTGTTGGAAATCCAACATGGAGGAGAGATGGTTGTCTCACGAGTTATTCAAGAAGCCAACATGTCACATGGCCTTGTCTAGTCACACTTTAAACATTATGCCAAGTAGTAGCCTCCTATTAGCTCTTCTAAATTTAGGATGGTGACATGAGTCACACTTTCCTTGCCTTACCATGTGGCAAGCTATTATTGGCTCTCTTAGATCTAAGATAGTGACACTT